ATCTTGAGAAAATTATCCTACAAAATTGTTATGTTACTATAAGGATACTATTTCAGGGCTAATGCATCCAAGATCATTGAAGAAGGCTTTAAGATCTGTTAGCTGTTGTGGAATAAATTTAAGAAAATATTTTTTGTCCCGTATTCGGCTCTCATAAATATGGTCACCGTAATTATAGCAAACAATTGATGAGATAAATTTGAGGCTAAAATTGTCGCGTTTTAGAAATGCCGCGTTAAAGGAAATGTGATCGGAAGAAAAGTTAGATGTAAAATTGTTTGGAAATTTTAAGGAAGTTCCTACCCGTATTAACAAATGGTCTAAACTTTTTTTCGCTTGATAACTTTTTAGTTTATTTAGAGCTTACGCGGACAGCTACTACGAATCTTTTTCCTTATTCTGAGTTTTCTTATGCGCAAAATAACAACACTTATATTGCGCAAATACAAATTGGTACAAATTATATTTTTTTCGAATTCTTATTCGATTAGGTATATTTTGCGCATTAGTTAATTAGGACTTGAAAAGTCAGTATATCGATAACAATCCGGAATCCTTATTTTAAAATTTTTTGGTTTGTAGAAATTCAACATTCGCTTCTCAAAAGCTTTACTGTAGTTCAGTGTATATGTTGTTTGACTGGCGGCACACACCAACGAAAGTATAAAAGTGAATGTAGGCCAATTCAATTACTTGTGGGGCTTCCTCGCCCATGCAAAATATTCGTAAACTGGTCTCACAGCTGGTGGTTTTACTTTCAGTGGGGTATTGGCAGCGCTATGCACATTACATATCTCACTCGTTGGTAACAGCAAACGTATTTACGGCAAAGAGTTTAGAAATGAAGCCAAATACAAACCAGCTTACTTGTAATTCATTTAGATGTGCATCCTGTTCAAAGGCTACACATGAACATACTTTAATAAGTAGTGGTAACAAACAGACTTTCAATGTTTGATCAAATTATTTTTTAACGTGATTTCTTATCTTTTAATGTTTTCTTTTTTTCAGGCATTCTAAACAATCTATTCGAAGGCCTTACGGACAAGGATGAAACTGTGCGCACGGCCATCAAAAGTTCCCTCATAAAAATATTGGAAACACATCCGGCGCGCGCCACTGACATACTTGTGGACTATCGAGGAAGAAACCCCAAGCTGCCAGAACAAACAGTCATCACATTGTTAAAGTGAGTTTGTTTATGTTGCTGAAATTATTTTTAAATATGTGTTGTACGCGGAATTCGAGTAAGTCGCCTTGTCTGAGCCCCGTTTGTCTCGAACGGCGCGGATAGATACTTCCCAAATTGGACAGAGTTAAATTCGAGCTNACACCCAGAAAAAGGTTTAGTTATAATAACCAAGATTTGGTTATAGTGATCAAGTGGCATAGTTGGATATGGCGAAATAAATATATAGTTCACGAAAGTCTGCAATTTACTTAAGACTTCTAGTTGGGACAAATGTATATTTGTTAATAATTACAAAACGACTACCTTGATTGTACAATATTGTTAGTTGAATAAAGTCATTGTTGAGCAAATATAAACAATGCTTTGGTTGTTCAGTTTGACACAAATAAAAATTTACTCGATGTTTGTTGTGTTTACTTTCTTCTTTTATTTGCGTATATTAAGCATAAAAAATACGTACATATTTACATAAGTTAGTTACTAAAGTTACTATATATCCACTGAAAACCCCCCGTTGGCATCAAACTTTATATTTTTAAATAACTATGCGCGCACCGAAACAACTCGCGGTGATAGAAAAACTGAGACAAACAATTCTGTGCAAGTCACACACACCCTTTTCTTTCTCTACCTAGCGCAGCGATCGACATACTACATGCGTGTTTCACCCATATACGAACAGCGGTAGCGGAGCAATGATTT